TCACCAGAATGGAGGTGTGCAGACAGGAAGACCAATGAACAGATACAAAAACAAAACAAAAAAAACATCCACACCTTTATCTCCGTGGTTCTGTCAGGCATCGGTGGCTGCTGCTCTGATCCTTTCCCTGCTCTGTCTCACCCAAGATGGCCGCTCAGGGAGCAGCTGAGTCCCTTGGATTAGATAGCATTGGATTTCTTGCTTCTGCTGCCAATTCCACTGGCTGTAGGCCTCCCAACTTTCTAAATATTCCTTTATAATATGTGGCTCAGAGTTCTGGCACCATCCCCTGAGCCTGCTTGGTCTGGTATTTTGTGTTTTTTCTGAGAGAGCTCCTCACTGCATTTCTGCCCTATCTGCCATCTTGTTTGCCCCTCCCCCCATGATACTTTTAATATTCTCCTCCAACACCGTAACTCAAATACATCAGTTCTTCTGTGGTGTTACTTATTCACTGTCCAACTTCTATATGCATATGAGGCTACTGAAAATACCATGGTTTGGTTGAAGCACACTTAAATCCTCAAAGTGATGTCTTTGTTCTTGAACATTTGAAAGAGGTCTTGTGCAGCAGATTTGCCTAATGCATTGAACGTGTCATTTGATTTCTTGACTGCTGGCTTCCATGAGTGTTGGTGGTTGATGTGAACAAAATGAAGTCTTTGACAACTTCCGTCTTTTCTCCATTGATATGGATGTTGTTTATTGGGCCAGTGCTGAGGATTTTTGTTTTATTTACATTGAGGTACGAAATATACTGAAAGCTGTGGTCTTTGATTTTCATTAGTATTTTAAGCCCCTCTCCACTTTCAGCAAACAAGATTATATCATCTGTATATGGCAGCTAGTTAATGAGTTTACATCAGTGATGTTATGTTCTTCTCAAATTACTTGCTCAGCATACAGATTGAATGAGTATGGTAAAAGAACACAACTCTGGCACACACCTTTTCCTAATTTTAAAGTATTTACTGTGCTTGTTTTGTTCAAAGATTGTCTCTTTGTTTCTGTCCAGGTTCCTTATGAACACAGTTAATTAAGTGTTCTGGAATACTCATTCTCTGCAATGTTGTCCATAGTTTGTCATGTTCCACACAGTTAAAAGCCTTTGTGTAGTCAATAAAGCACAGAAAAACATTTTTCTGGTATTCTCTGCTTTCAGCCAAGATCATCTGACATCAGCAATGATAGCCCTTGTTCCATGTCCTCATCTGAATCCGGCTTGAATCTCTGGTAACTTCCTGTCAAGGTACTGCTGTAGCTGTATTTGAATTATCTTCAGCAAAGTTTTACTTGCATGTGATAGTAGTGATACTGTCAGATGATTTCTGCAATCCATTTGGTCACCTCTCTTTGGAATGGGCAGAAATACAGATCACTTCCAATCAGTTGGCCAGGTAGCTCTCTTCGAAAATTCTTGACATAGATGAGTTAGTCCCTCCAGTGCTGCCTCAATTTGTTGAAAGATTTCAATTTGTGTTTCATCAATTCCCACAGCCTTGTTCTTTTCCAACCCTTCACTGTACCTTGATTTCTTTTTTCAGTATCATTGCCTTTTGATCATATGCCTCCTCTTGAAATGGTTGAACATTGACCTTGTCTTTCTGATACAGTGACTCTGTGTTTTCTTTTTATCTTCTTTTGTTGTTTCTGCATCATTCAATAATTTTCCCATCGAATCCTTCAATATTTCAAGTCAGGGCTGCATTTTTTCTTCAGTTCTTTCAGCTTGAGAAATGCTCAGCATGTTCTTCTCTTTTAGTTTTCTAACTACAGGTTCTTGCACATTTCATTATAATTTGTCTTCTCAAGCTGCCCACTGAAAATTTCTTTTCAGCTCTTTTACGTAAACCACCTCCTCAGAGCACTTTGATATTTTAAAAAAGTGATGAAAATTGTTATTGTTTAAAATGTTTTTAAAATACTCTCGCATTTTTGTTTTATGTCAGGTTTTTAGTATTTTAATTATATTTTTATGTAATTTGTAATGCTAATTTGGATCATTAACGTAGTCAAAAATTATTTTACCTATTTGGAATGTGTCAGTGGTTTAATTTTCCCAAAATTTTATAATTTATAGTGTAAGTGCTGTGCTTGTATTTAGACAGGCTAAATTTCATACAGAAGTATGAAAATATAACTTCAGACCAGGCTTTCCTATGGGCACCCGCCTAGTTATAGCTACTGTTCTCAAGATTACAGCTTAGTGAAACTAAAGATTGTTTATACTGTGGTTTTCTAAAATATATTGTATATTCATTAAAAAAATATTAAGTACCTCCTGGCGTGGTGCTGGAGGATAATGTACTGAATTGTAAGGTCGGTTTGAACTGAAAGGTCTGCGATTCAAATTCACCATTTGTTCCTTAGAAACTGTATACTGGGTTGCTATGAGTTGGAACCAACTTGACAGCATTCAACAACAACAGTAACAGCAACAATGTATGAAATAGGACTGGTGTGGCGTTAGAGTATAAGCACTGGACTGCAATGTCTGTTTGAATCACAAGGTTGGTGGTTCAAATTCAGCAACTGGTCCTTGGAAACCCTAAACAGGGTCACTGTGAGTCAGAATCTAATCGACAGCACTTAACAGCAACACGTATAAAATAAAGGGAGCGCTCAGGCTCTGTAGGATAAGCACTGGACTGCAAACCACAAGGTTGGTGGTTCGAGTCTACCAGTCACTCTGCTGGAGAAAGATGAGACTTTCTGCTGCAGTAAAGATTTACAGCTTCAGAAACCCTATACAGGGCCGTTACGAGTTGGAACCAGCTCCACTGTAACAAGTACGAGATAAGGTTTTTTCTTATTCAGTTTTAACAGTAAGCCCTGATTTGTTTGTGTTAAACTTGAGATGCTGGTAGACTAATCAGGTAGAGGTATGTAGCAGCTTCTTTGAAGTATTGGTCTAAAGCTCAGAAGAGAAACCCAAACTGAAGATAGATGTGGAGTCCTGTGCACAGATCATAGTTCACTATGTGGGAGTAAACGTGATTACGTGGTTGGATGCAGAAGGAACCGATTGTCCAGGGTAGGATCCAAATTTGAGAGGTGGGAGGAGGGTATGGAGCTCTAAAAGGAAATGGACAAAAGTAAGAGAAGGCGAATAGATGAGAACCATTGGAGGCATACAAGAATGTAAATTTTTTTAAGTTTCAGTAATTGAGTTTGCTGAATTTGGAATCACAACTTAGGGGTTCTAGTGTGGCGCTGTGGGCTAATGTGCTGGACTGCAAAGTTGCCTTGAAGTTCAAGCTCACCAACTGCTCTTTGGAAACCCTATACAGGGTTGCTATGGGTTGGAACCAACCTGATGGCACTTATCAACGATTATGGGTTCTAGTGCAAAGGTAATCCATATTTTAACAGAACAACCATTTAGCTATCTAATCTGATGAAGAAATTTGTAGACCGATACATTACAATCAGGTTGATAATTGCTGCACCAAATAGTATCAATAGTTCATGGAAAATGATTCAAGCCTTTGAGGGTGTGCAGCTCAGTTTTTCATCAGTAAAGCTGTAAATTGTTTAATTACCCATAGTTGATGTAGTACATAGTACCTCCTCACACAGTTCTGGATTTTATTTTGCTATTTACCTCTTAAAATGGTGTCCTTTAAAAAGTATCTACTTAAAAAAAAAAATTCATTATATGACACATTCATTATAAAAAAATTCCCCACAAACTGAGGTATTTAGGCCCTCTCTCTTAGTTGAAAGTTCGTGACCAGTGAGCATCATGCCCTGCCATTCAATGAGTGCTTTACCACCCTGCCTGGAGTTGAGCATGTTCTGAAATAACACTGTTTATCACCTGGAGCTGCTCTTCTGTCATTCATTTAATGATGAACAGTTGTTACCTGTAAGTGACAAAGGCATGCAAGTACAGACTATTGTGCTGTGTTGTTAAGATGCAAGTTTTACAAAGGCCAGTGGACTGAAGTGCTTTCTTAAAAATGGTTGAAAGGAAGAAAAGTTAAGATTAGTACCAGTTGCCATTAAGTGACCACAAAGTTATCTTCCTAATGTGTAGATACAAAATTATGATCTGTCAAAATGCCCATTTTATGTCCTTTGATTTAGGATGACTTTGTATTCAACAAGTATTTATCATGCCTGTACTCTATGCTTTGCACTGTGCTAGGTGAACATGATGAGACATACCTTTCTTGGATTTTTATCATTTAGTAGGAAATAAAGAGTTGAGCAAGGAATTGTTGTTAAGTGCAGTCGAGTTAGTTCCGACTCATATTGACCCTGTGTTGGTTTTCTGAGGAGCAGCTAGTGAGTTTGAACCACTGACCTTGAGGTTCAAACTGACCTTTTGCCACAGTGCTTATCCTACAGTGCCACCCCAGGACTCCAAGCAAGGGGTGGTGGTGGTGGTAGTGGTAGTGGTAGTGGTAGTGGTATGCTGTGGAGTTGGTTCCAACTCATTGCGACCCTGTATAGGGTTTCTAAGGTTGTAAACCTTTACGGGAACAGAAAGAGCCTCATCTTTCTCCCGCTGAACACTTGGTAGTTTCAAACTGCTGACTCTGATGTTAGCAGCCTGACTCATAAACGCTATGCTACCAGAGCTCCTTCAAGCCAAGGGATAGAGAAGGTCATTTTGCCCAAGCAATATGTAGTATTTCCTGGTGAAAACCATATAAATGGCATCTTTTATTCCCACTTCACTTCTCACTTTCTCTTCGTATTCCTCCACCTCAGGGTAACGATGATTTAAGAAAATAAAGAAAAGAAAAGTGAAATTATGCATTCAGGTATTTGCATCTCTAGGAACATGTTATAAACATGTCTGGTTTATGTGATGGGGAAAAAAGGTTGAGAATTTCTGACTTCTGGTTTAGTACTTGTAAATCTGTATTTGCGGACCACACCATGTTCTTGAGTACAAACCCACATTAAATTTTTTTTGTTTATGTAGGTTAAATTTGAGGTAAAATAAACTTCATGTTATAATTATTTTGTTTTGTTTTTTTTGTTCACAGGTTCAGGGTCAAGTTCATCCTACACTTGAATCTAATGATGATGCTCTTCAATATGTTGAAGAATTGATTTTGCAATTATTGAATATGCTATGCCAAGCTCAGCCCCGGAGTGTTTTAGATGTAGAGGTATGATAAATTTCACCTTATAATCACTTTATGTATATTTAACCTGTGTTAGTTGTAGTGTCTGTGAAAGAGAAAAGAATTTGCTTTTCAATTCTACAAAATATATAAGGTATAAAGAAAATGAAGACTGACTATATTTTAATTTTATATTGGGTATTTGATAGCTTGTATTTTGCATTTAATCTAAAATGAAGTTGAGTTGGCTTCTAAACACTACTATTGGATGCTAGAATAATGTACTCATATCTTTAAGAGAGAAATATATCCAGATATTTCTTTTGTATTTTAAAGCCAGTTTTATTGTTGTTAAGTGCTGTCGAGTTGGTTCCAACTCAGTCACCCTATATAGGGTTTCCAAGGAGCAGCTGGTGAGTTTGCACCACTGACCTTGTGGTTCAAACCAACCTTGTAGTCCACTGCTTTATCCTACAATCCCAAGTACATTTCAGCTGTTACTTTAGTCTTACGTATATTGTAGGTGATATTTCTGTTGAAAGGGATGGAAAAATCTAGAAATGAGGTTCTGAAATCTCTTACAGATGGTTATGGCCACTGCCACTTTATGACTTGCTGTTCAATGGAAGTGCAGACAGTTATATAAGAAGTAGCATAATGTGATTGACTCTAAGTACAGAGTATGTGGTAACCATGAAAGGGACAAATAACTTATGCATTGGGATTTAGGTTTAACTTCTCAAAAGAAGAAATGTCTAAGCTGAGATCTAAAGGGGTCAAAAATTTAAGAAGAGTAGGAGGAAAGTTTAAAGGAGCTCTGGTAGCGTGTAGTGGTTACGAATTGGGCTGCTAACGTCAGGGTCAGCAGTTTGAAACTACCAGCTGTTCCTCAGGAGGAAGTTGAGGCTTTCTGCTACCTCAAAGATTTATAGCCTCGGAAACCCTATGTCGGGTCGCTGTGAGTAGGAACCGACTCCATGGCACACCACCACCACCACCACGAGGAAAGTTTAAAGTCATAATTGTAGAAAATGAGAAACAGAGCTGCAAGGAAATAAAGTTTTCTGACAGTGATGAAGGCTCATCTGACATCAGTGACCTCAAATGTATAATGGCACAAATCTTCCAGATTGCATAACTTTTTTTTTTTTTTTTTAAGCCCGCTTAGGTGTGGGCATAAAAAAGATAACTGGGATGATCCAAGAATGGTGTCCATCCTGGATGTACAATGTCAAGACAGTAGGGCAAGAAATTATGGAAATTGGTACTTCATAACCCTTTTTAGAACGCAACACATACAGAATGTAATGATGTTTTTATGGCACACAGTGGCTAGGATGGAAATATCTCAGGGCTTGCTCAGCTTATGAGGGCTATGGGATTGACATATAGGCATATCCAATGAGAAACTTGTTAATAAACAATGTCAGGAAATCTAAATTGGATAAGGAAAAAAGCGAAATGTAATATAACAGCTGATATTTGAGTACTTGCTATATTGTTATGCATTGGTGCAAACGGTTCCATGTTGTATATTTTATATAAATATTACAATATCCCATGAAGATTGTGCTGCTTTCTCCCTTACTTAGAAAGTTCTCTCTGGGGATTTTGTTTTGTTCATTGCTGAATCTCTTAACACTTAAAACAATGTCTGGCATATAGAAGTTACTTAGGAAACATGTTTTGAAAGGAAATGTGTTGAAAGAATGAATGTTGAAACTTTCTGGAAGCACAAAGAAGTTAAGTAACTTGCCCAAGATCAAGCAGCTACTATTATTAATTAGACCCAGAAACTCTAGGCTTTTGAGCTTGCCTTTCATTTAATTATCATACCAGATAAGAAAGAGGCATGTAGATTGGAAAAACATGAATGAAACAGGTATTAATGTGATTAGAAAAGTGGTTAAATTAGAATACCCAAGTAAGAAAAAAAGTGGATTGGAATCAGAGTTCTTTGAATTTAAGATTTCGTTGGTAGCATAGTTACAAAGCAGGCTGTGGCCATTTGGTAGGTAGTGTTTGGATTATAAGAGAAAGTCCTCAAAATGAGGTGTTCAGATGATTAAGGCCAGGGTACTGTTTGTGTCCATGATGTAGATAATAAAGTCACACAGGATGGTGACAGGACTTTATAAGAGAATGAAAGAGTGATATTCCAGAAACAACTTTGGGAGTGAAAAAGATGCTCAATCTATTTACATGGGCTTGGGGTAATAGAAATAGTGCCTGTTTTAGACTTTTTCAGAGAAGATCCAGATTTCATTTGAGGTACAGGAACATTGAATTACAGAGCTAGTGTGTGTAGAAAAGATTTTATGCCATGAAATGGTAATTTGATTCAATTCCTTGTGTTATTCAAAGTAGGGTCTTACATCTTACCTCATTTTTCCATTAAACTATAAAAACAACTGTCTTTCATTCCTAATTTCCTTTTTAAGTATCAATTACCATGGGCTTCTCAGAGTATATCTTGAACTGGTTGCCTGACTTTCCTTTCTATTAACAATTCCAGTTGCTTTTTTGGATCTTAGTCAGGTTTACCCAGAGTGTTTATCAAATGCAGCATACAACCTTGTATCTAATGCATTAGAATGGTGTTACATGTTTTGTGTTGCTTAACATTCTGATGTTAGTGCTTTCCAGGAATTTACTAATTTGGTCGTAGTTTAAACTCAAATTCAGCTGTTTCCAGTAGCATAGTGGTTACAAATCGGGCTGCTAACCTCAGGGGTCAGCAGTTCGAAACTACCAGCTGTTCTGCGGGAAAGACATGAGGCTTTCTGCTCCCGTAAAGATTTACAGCCTTGGAAACCCTGTAAAGGGTTGCTATGAGTTGGAACCGACTCCACGGCACATAACAACAACAACAATGCTAATCTGATTTCCTCTTCTTAATATAGAAGCTAAATGTATCATTTTCTAGTATTGAAGGAAATCTCCTTGAATTCTCAGAAATGATTATGAATCTGTCTTGTTGTTGTATAGATTTAATCAATATATAGGTATTCAAGATCCTAAATAATAGAGCCTATTTCATAGCTTCTTAATGTTCACCCAGAAGAAAACTCTGAGAGATATAAGATATTTGCCTTGTCTTGTTATTTTTAAGTAGTTAATTTGGACTCTTAAAAGAACATGTAGGACTTGTGGGGCAAGATGACAGAGTAGATAGACTAGCTGAGCCGACCCTCTGCAACAAGGATATGAGGCACCAAGGGAAACGTGTGAATGGTGATCCTGGAACTCTTTGAGTTTCAGAGGATAGGATGGAGAGGACTGAGTGCTGATTGGGAGAGGAAGCTGAGCAGAACCTTCTAGAGAGGAGACAGAATGGCTTTTGCTGTGGATTGGCACAGCGACCTAGAGTAACAGTACATATTTTGCAGGTTTGCAGCTAATGGGGTGTGGTACTCCCTTTATCCTGTCCCTCTTCTAGTAGCCAGGAGCATGGCCGACCCCTGCCCTTGTCTGCCCAGAACCTAGTAGTACTTCCTCCTATGTAGCCTCTTCTCTGCTTGGGGTTAGGTGCCAGGTGTACTACCCCTGTATCTGGAGGCAAGAGAATTGCACTTCATTAGGTATTTTATTGCGGTGGTTTGTTTTTGGGAGACAGCAATTGTGTTCATATGGCCGAGCCACATCTGTGTTTCCTTCGCTATATCTGCTGGGCAAGTACCACTACTCACTTCTGTACCACCTAATCAGTGATAAAACCCATGCTGAATTACGCTATACAAACAGCAAGCAGAACTGCGTACACATTTCCAGTCTCTATCACATCTACCCGGAAACAGGTGGTGAGTGCCTGAGAACACACCAACCTGCAGTCACTTAAATATATATCCACAGTGTCTTGGAGAAAACATTTTCAGCTTATACAAAGAAACGAGAGAGTACTTCAAATAAGTGACCAAAATACAGTCAGAAAGTGTAATACCAGAAATGGTATGGAGCTACTTGGTAAGAAACTTCAAAGAATGATATTTAGGCACTTTCAGTGGATTGAGAGAATGAATGAAAAAACTGCAGATGAAATCAAGGATAAAACAGACAAAACTTTAGAAGAATTCAGGAAAACACTGCAGGAACAAACTGACAAAATAAATGAAAACTATACAAAAGCAGCAATTAGAAAGTCAGAATATTAATAATGAGACTTCAGAAATAATACATTGAAAGGGCAAAGAGAGGAATAACTTACTGTGGTTGGAACTCCCATACAGGAAGTGACCAAAAAAACCACAAGAAAGTTGTCCAAGAGTTATTGGAAGAAAACTTCCCTAATATCGTGAAAGACGAGAAGATATACATTCAAGAAACTGAACGAACTCCAAACACAATAGACCACAAAAGATAATCACTCAGACATATTATAATTAAACTTTTCCAGAGTAGGGACAAGAAAAAAAATCCATAAAACAGCTTGGAAACAAACCAAAAAGTTAACCTACAAAGAAGAACTAATAAGATTAAGCTCTGATTTCTCATGCAGAAAAGTAGACAACCAGATGACGTATGTACAACTCTGAAAGAAAACAAACTGCCAACTAAGAATCATATACCCCAAAAAAGGTTTTTCAAATATGACAAAATCAGAATATTTCTAGATAAACAAAAATTAAAAGAATTTGTAAAATCAGACCAATCTTTTAAAAAAGCTAATGAAAGTTCTTTGTAAATAGAACCAACAAAGCAAGACAAACTGAGCTTACCGTACATGACAAACTGCGCTTACCATACATGACAAACTGAGCTTACCATACATGACAAACTGCGCTTACCATACATGACAAACTGAGCTTACCATACATGACAAACTGAGCTTATCATACATGACAAACTGAGCTTACCATGCATGACAAACTGAGCTTACCATACATGACAATATCACCTAGAACTCAACTGGTGTATAAGTATTCTAAGTTAAACAAAATCTACAAGACTGAAAACGGGGAACCAAAGATACCAGTCTATAACAAAAAAAAAAGCCCCAGAGAGTAAAAAAAGGGAATAATATAGTTATAGAATTTAAAAATGAACAG